CGAGAGAGAGAGAGAGAGAAGGGGGCTTGGGGGGGAGTGGGGACAAAAAGCATTACATTGAGGTGTAGTATTACAAAGTGGATGTTCGTAAAATAAAAAGCAGCATTACCAAGAGGCAATTGATAAAGATAAAGGAACTTAGATTACGCATTGGGAGGGAATCATCAACTGATCGAGCTATTATATTATATCACACACCAGCATGCTCTGGAAAAGGCCCCCATTGCCTATTAGTAGCAACTTGATGCACGCCAAAACCACCACCATCAGATTCACTAACTCCACTGTGTTTGTTATTGGTTAGTGAACAAAGAGGAATCTCAATGTTAGGAGCCCATTTGGGGATCCAGGGGATACAAACAAAGAATAGCCTATTTCCTAGTCGACTTAGGAATAATGACAAAGAACCATTATATCATATATTGTTCTCAGAAGTCGTAGCTCCCATTGACGAAGCAAGAGCAAACCAAAATTTAAGCTAGAAATTTAAGGAAACTTTTGAACTTTAACGCCTTTCAGTAAAGTATTATTAACCAAGATGAGCATTGGAACTGCTTCAGAAAAACTAAGGCAAAAATAAGGGTATGATGTAAAACCTAAATCCACAAAGTTCCACCAAAAGAAAACATTAAATACGGGGTCAAAGTCATCTAGTTAACAAAGCAAGATTAATGATAAAACATGTACAAGATTTCAAACCAGGTAACCATTTTCTAAAGGAATCTGCCATACAGGAGCTGCTCTGCCATCATCGTATTACCCTGTATTGTTCTACTGCATGAAGATGTGTACTATAACACAAGACCCATAAAATGGAGTCACACTTAACACATACATAAGTATGCAAACATGCATGGATTTCAAAACCACTTGTTGCAAAGAACAAAAACTGCCCAGTGTCCACAAAACTAAAAGATTAATTACACTGAATTATACTTAAAGAATTATAGTTCCACTCTCAAAAAATGTGCATATTCAAAAGAAATAGTATAAAGTTTTTATATAGCAAATTTAAGTATTTAATCAACAATAACGCATCCGCAATATCTTAAAAATGCTAAAAGAAAAAAAAAAAAAAAGAGCTTGCATTTGTGGAAAGAAACAAAAAAACAGAAGATAGTTATATGAAGACACAAACCTCATACTCTCTGACACGAAATATTGGGCTAAGCATTGCACACTGAAGAGCACAGCCACGAGCCACACACTCGCTTGCATTAGTGTCCGGCTGGGTTCTCTCTTGAAAAGAGAAGCTAAAATCCTTTTAATAGCTGGTATCCGAGACCCTGATCCCACTAGTTCGACAGTATGAATGTTCTGCATATTGATACCAGAGTCAAGCAAAGCCTTACGACATGGAATGCTAATCCTCTCCAACAAATTCGATGACAGCTGCTCAAATTCCTCTCTCTTTATGAATCCCTTGACATCTTTCTCATCCATCAAGCATTCAATATGAAGTTGGGCCTCTGGATTCGCACTCAATACTTTCTTCAGTTTCTCACATGCTTCCCTCAGCCTTTTAGAAGCCCGAGCATTAGAGGGAACATCAATATGGAACTGTTCCCTGAACTGCGCAGCAAAATGTCTGAACATAACCTCATCAAAGTCTCTTCCTCCTAAATCCCTATCAAATGCATGAGAGAGTATCTTCATATGTCCCGGTTCAAATGCTGCAACAGCAACCTGTGTATCACAGTGACCAATGTCGACAAACACAACATGAGTTGGCCTTCCAGCAGGTAAGTCATTCTTGTAAATACCATAACCTAGTGCAGTAGCAGTACAGTCATGCATCAATCTCAAAGGTTTCAAGCCAGCAATCTCTGCGGCATGCAAATAGGCTCGCCTTTGCAAGTCCGTGAAGTACGACGGTATACCAATGACACAATCAGAAATGTGGGTCTCCAGATTTTTCTCACTGATCTGCTTTAGATGCGTGAACAACATGGCCATGATCTGAACGGGGCTAAAAGTATGTTTCTCATCCAAATATTGTATATGAATCAAAATGCCACCATCGGGTCCTTCAGAGGTCTCGAAAGGCAACAGTTTCAGGTCCTTTTGGACACTGGGTTCCTTAAATTGTCTGCCAATCAATCTCTTAACCTGAGAGATTGTGGATTTTAGGTTCATGGTTGCAGAAGCAGCCCCAGCTAAGCCCATAAACCTTTGTTTCTCGCCAAACGAGACCAGAGCTGGTGTTTCACGGTTTGATTCCTCATTCAACAAAACATCAATCCACCTTGCTTTGCAGCCGCAATAACACAGGTTTCATTGCCGATATCAAATCCAACCACACTCATTTTCAGCAGACACCGGATATATAAACCGCACAATTTTAAGCAAAGTAGGGTGCAAACTCACAACGGAAACACCTAAAATCAATCCATTTTCTCAATGATTAGAACAAAAGTTACCAAATCCAGGACATAAAGCTCACAACTCGAACCTAAACAAAATCCAATAACCACAAAATTCTCGTAGACACTTATATTTCAGGCATTTTCACAATAATTACCACAAATAATCAACAAAACTCGATAACATAAGTCGCAAGATTAACCAAAACAAACCTAATTCATTCCCAAGTTGCTACAGAAACACCGATTATTCATCAGTTTTCACATTATCACCTCCTAGAATTCAACGCAAAAAGCTCATACAGTAATCAAAGCTTTAAATTTTTAGCTTCAATATCCATAAGCAAGAGCTAAAGAATGGCATAAACAAGACAAAATTTATTCAGCGAAGATACACATACACATGTATACCTATACAAGCAAAATGCATTGACTGAAGATGTTAGGGAATTGAACGTACCTGAAGAGAGAGAGAGAGAGAGAGAGAGGGAAACCCTATGGAAAATAGGAGGAATCGGGAAGAAACGGTGGGGGTGGATGCGAGAGAATGTCTCCTAATTGGTTGGGAATCGAAAGCGGACAATTCTCGAAGATCTCTCGATGTATATGCATGACAATTCAGGAAGATGTTGGATGAGACCCGGTCGACACAAATAAAAGCTTCTGCAAACAATGCCTAAAGACGCTGCTCTTCCTCCATTACAATTTTTTTTTATTTTCCACGTCAGATATCAATTTTGTGGAACAAATTCTTATTATTACTTAGTTTAATATAGCGATCAATCACCGAATTCTAATAGAGACTTCAAAACTCAAATTTTCAACCTCCCCGAAGTGAGGAATAAGATCGATATTTCACCGGACCACCCGGTGGTTAAAAAAAAAAAAAAAAGCTGTGCTAGTTGAGCCGAAGCACGTTAGGTGGCTATGCTTCTTGAATCTTGATTGACTGCTGTATAAGGCCCATGAGAGGTATTCATGGCCCGCCCACCCACTTCCATTGGGTCCCAAAAAAAAAATACCAAAAAAAGTGATATTGATCTAAGAATTAAATATTTTTTTATTCAACAATCAGCGCTATTTGGATCAATTTATGTGCATTTTGACTAATTTTTTTTTAATTTGGTCAAGAGAAAATCATTCATTTCGAGACTAGGATATTTACGATAAATAAATTACTCTTGATCTGACCTTAAAAGAGTGTCAAAATTCAAACTCTAGACGTTTAATTTTATAATTCGTCGCAGCGCAATTGACCATAACTCACCTTCCTCTTTTTCTCTCTCTCCCAGCGACAAACAAGCAATGTTGTAACAGGTTTGAAATTGGTTGTTGTTAAAGATTTCAATTCTATGTGCATATTGTGCTATTGACAAGACAATTGTTGTATCTGTATGGTTTTAATTAGCTCTATATATATATATATATATATATATATATATATATATATATATATATATATATATATATTTTTTTTTTTTTTTTTTTTTTTTTTTTGGTAAAGGGTTGTAATTTGCTCATTTTTGTTATTAATTGTTTGCATAGATTATGTTATGTATTTTAGCTTTTGGCTTTTGTGTGTTTAATAAATTTTAACCTAATTATTATGATGCTAAAAATTATGGGTGTTAATCGCAACGAGTTATTCGAGCTCAACTTGAATAATACTCCACTTAAACTTGGCTAGTGTTCTAAATGAGCTGTATTTGAATAATGTTTTGGGAAAATTATGAAAATGTACACATTATCATACGTATTTGTATAAAAGTACCTCAATATAAAATATTTGTGTATAAGTATCTTTATGTGTAAATGTTTGGTGAAGAGGTGCACTTTTGCTGAGTTGTAATTTTTTCTCTTACGAAATTGTCATTTTTCTTTATTAATGAGAGACAAATATGACAGTTATATTAGGGATTCAGTTTCCAAATTTTATGAAATATCATTTTTGAATTTTAAATTATATCTTTCTCTTTCATTCAACTTAAGTTATTCAAACATTCATGTCTTTTCCATATTTGTATAATTTATTTATTTTTATAAATTATAATAATCAAGATGATGATTCTGATTCAGAGGATGACTTACTGCTTCGCACGATAATGTTACAGTGCTACAAAACAATGTCACACTGGTATTAGAAAATGTCACACTGCTACAAATTAAATTTACACTGCTACAATGTTGTCCATAAGTATTTTTTTTTTAAAAAAAAAATCGTTACGGTCTCCTAATGTCAATCACGTTCATATGAGGATAAATGTCAATGATGATGACTCAAATGAGGATGATCGTAATAATCAAAATGATGATTCTAATTCGGAGGATGATTTGTTGTTTCACACGATAATGTCACAGTGCTACAAGACAATATTACAATGGTACTAAACAATGTCACAGTGTTACAAACCAAATTCACACTACTAGAAACTAATGTCACATTATTGTAAGTCAATATCACACTGCATATATTGACATGACGCATATCATAATGTATGTAGCTTCTTTGGTTTTTTTTTTTGGCAAATAATCGAATACTTAGTGTTCATGTAGTACCAAGTATTATAAGTAGAAAGGTAATTGAGGGAAAAAAAAGTAAATAAAATAAAAACGTTTGGAGAAATAACATTTTTCTTGAATTATCAACTTCCTTTCCAAAAAATTCAACCACTCCCATCCTTCTCCATCATTCTGCTCCCATTCAAACCCTTATTTAAATTGTTCTCACCCAAATGGACCCTTTACTGAAAACCACTTTGTCCTTTAATATAACTAAGAGATGTTAATGAATTGAATGTCAATCCATATCCAAGATCGTGTGATTGAGTTGGTTATTTGTTACTAAAAAAATTTATAACCACTCTCATCCTTTTGTTACAAAAGTGAAGATTTGGATAATGAAGTTTTGAAAAGATCTTTTTTTTAGCAACGATTAACAGAAAGTTTTGAACATCCAAAATGAGATTTTATGGAAGTTTTTGGAAGAATGGGATTTCCGGCGATATCAAAGGAATTTATGTGTAACTGTTGAGATCTCTTAAGTTTCGGTTGTGAAAGCAAAAATATAGGAATCGGTTCTCATTCTACTAAAGAGGGTATTTTAGAGATTTGTTAGGGGTTGTGTACTTTTTGACCTATATTTTTAAAAGTAGTATTTTTTGCCCTATAATTTCTAAAAAGATTACCAACCCCCTTAAAACTCATAATTTTTTAAGTTGATGTTAAAAAACGAATCTTAAAGGCTTAGTTCAAACTCACAAAGGTTGACTCATGTATATGTAAAATAGTCAAGTCATTTGGACTCGGCTCAATTTGACCTAGGCTCAGGCTCGACTTGAGTTCTAAAAAAATCGAGCTTGAATAATTTTTTAAACTTGTTTAAAAAAACAAATTCGATCGGGTTCAATTTCGTAAAATTCGGCTCGATTAACACCTTTACTAAAAATATAAATGTATACCATTACTTTTATTTATTGGAGAAAAAATTAAATCTTATAATTAGAGTGTGCCTACCTTAAAAAAATTTCATGACTCCCCCCTGTGCAATAATGAGAACATTCTATTTTATAATTAAGATCTTAATCGAGTTGGTTCAACATAATATATGGAACCCATGCGGCACATTAGAAATATATTTTCTATTGGATATATATATCTCATATATAAATGATGGGACTCTTCTGAAAAGCCCTAAGATGAAGACACGTGTCCTCGGGGGCTTGGGAACAGTGTTGCCCGGATGTAAGCACCATCGGCAAAGAACGTCCTTTACCCCCGAGGTACCTCTCATATAGGATCACACATTTCGGTGTATTATACAACAAACACGTGCCCTCGGTCACCGTGTACCTCGGGAAACATACCACCCTCGGTCCCCGAGGTGATCCTGTCCTCGGTGCCGAGGGTCACTCCATCCTGGACGCTTCCTCTACTCCCGGATAAAGCTACTGACGTACTGGACATCAGCCTATGCCAGTCTGGACTATTCATCATGACCTCGTCTTACACAAGTAATGTCAGAACGTTCTGGAATACCGACGTCACAGCCAATAAGGGATGGACGCGTGGCAAATAATGTCACATCAGAAGCAGACAAACCGCATGTCGTTGCTGGCACGCGACTTGGGAAAGCAAACAATTAATTGCACCCTTCTGTTGACGAGACCGCATTCAATGCGGTAAGGTTCGGATATGAAAGGCAATAAATGCTCCTATTACAGAGCATTTATTGCATCCTTCCCGAAAGGAGCATATTGTACCGTCGGCGTCCCGACAGACTCAGCATTTATTGCTCGGGACCCCGAGCAGTCAATTAGAGAAGACATTCCTCATCAAATCAATACACACGCTGCCTGTGCCTGATGATCACCTACTGACCACACTGACAGCAATCATGAGTTTCTAAGGTATAAATATTCCTCCCAAAAGACAAAGCGGGTATGCAATCAAAAACTCTCTACGACGAAATATCCTTCTCAGTGTTTTCTCCTTCCTCTCTCTCATTCAAAGACTGACTAGACCGTCGGAGGGGATACGCCGGAAAACACTCCGGCGCCCTTCTAACTTGTTCTCCTTTGTTTCAGGAAATACCTTTCACACGTACAGGATCGTTCTTCCTTTCCCAGGATCTTCCTTTGCCGTTCCAGGTTGGCACCGTACCTTGTAGGCTGTTTCAAGCAGCGTGTTTGGCTACTCAACCGGCTCACCCAAAGTTCACCAGGGGAGAGATCTGTTCCCAATATTTTATATATCGTGCAGGATCGAGCCCGCACAATCTGGCGCCGTCTGTGGGAAACGAGTAGTTTTCCTAATCTTTTCTCTATAAAGAACAGTGACCATGGTGAACACCAGACAGAAAGGGAGAGGAACCCACCAAAGAAGTCATGAGTTGCAGGCTCCCTGCCATCACGGAGGGAGGGATCGCACCAGTACGATTAAAAGTGCCTCTACTCGGTCAAGGGGGGTAACCCCCCAAACCAGTATGGGGATCAGGTCAGGAGGATCAGCCCCCTTGGCCCGTCAGCTGGCAGAGGTGATAGAAGAGAAATTTGGAGATAGATTACGTCAGTTGGAGAAGGACAATGTAAACGTCCTTAGCCGGCTCGACGAGTTTGCCGCCTCAGGCGGAGGGTCGAGGGATTCATTCCTTTCCCGAGGGCTCCCCGTCCACGAGGCAGAGACAAAGGATCTGAGAAACCACCTGGATCACAAAGCAGAAAGCTCCAGGGCCCCGAAGCGACCCAGAGCCGGCGAATGCCATCTCGACAACCATTCCAGGAAGGCGAGGCCGTTGGCCCTGGACGACCTCCGGCGAGGTTTGTCCAGACGGAGGAGGGGAGATGAATCCGAGGGGACTCAACCCAATCTACACGACGCCCGGGAAACGAGGGGCTTACCCATGAACCCAGGGACTTCAGGAGGCATCCCGTAAGGGAAGAAGTAGATCTCAGAGCCCGATTAGACTCCAGAAGAAAGGGTAAGACT